TCATTGTTTGCAGTGACTTTATAGAACATAACTACCATGAATAACAAGAATGGACTGCATTCCTTTCTCTATGATCCTGCTTTCCTTAATTAGTTAATTTGTAAAATACTCAGCGTTTTACTATCAAAGGACATATATTCTCAAAGGGACAAAAATTGGTTCTTGGTGGCAGAGAGTGAGAACTCCATTTAACATAAAAAGCAGAGATATACATGCAGTGTGTAAAAGATGTATAGTGCATTTGTGGTGTGACAATATCTTTTGGGGGTAATTAGGAGAAAAGTCGAAAAAGTTTCCTTGGGGGGAGGGCAGTAATGAAAAAGTGTTTGTAAAACATAGCCACAGGGTACAGTCAATATGTGATGAAGAAAATATTTACTAGACTACACAGCACAGTATATATAGCTGTTATTGTTAATATCATTGATAATATTATTTGTTTACTTAGCCCCTTCCCCTTTTTTTTTTTAAATATTTTTATTTATTTCTAGGAGAGAGCATGAGCAGGGGAGGGTCAGAGAGAGAGGGAGATACAGATTCTGAAATAGGCTCCAGGCTCTGAGCTGGCAGTCAGCACAGAGCCCGACGCAGGGCTTGAACCCACGAACCGCGAGATCATGACCTAAGTGAAAGTCGGACGCTTAACCGACTAAGCCACCCAGGCGCCCCAACCCCTTCCCTTTCTTTATAGACCAGCATTTCTTAAATTGGAGTTTGTGGTCCCCTGAAGGGTCTGCATTCTGTTTTCAGACCTGTCTGAGGTTTTCCTCTGGAATTTATTTTACTTTGGGCTTTCATTTTGATGACAGGCATAAAAATAATAAATCTTTGTATACGGTTCACCTTTATGGATGAGTCCTGCCACAAGATTTCATTGTCCTAGTTTACGCCTGGCTTTTCAGGTAGGAGTTCAATTTCAATACTTAGGGGCCAATAAGGAATAAAAGAGGAGCAGACTTAAAGATCATGAGTAAAACAGTCATACCGAGCAAAGGCCCAGTGACGTGCCATCCTGTTCTGGGGGGAAAGCTCCCGATTTCGGATGGAGGAAAGTGGTGCACAGCTGAGCCCTCACATGGCCCCGGGGGAGCATGGGCATGCCCATACCCAGAGAACATTCGCTGTAACAGCCGATACTCTATTTACATTTTGAAAGGCAATTTAATCTCTGCAAAATAACATCATCTGCCACATTAAATTAATGCTGTTATTTTGAATTTTATGGGCCTTCTTGTTTTTCTGTTCAATTTGTTACTTTGTTTTGGTCTTATCGTTGACATCAGAGTCAAAGATATGGAGTTTATTTCTAGCTTTCCGTTTGTACATTGCTAAATAACAATATAAAAATAATTTAAGTCTCCGTTAGTGGTGGGCAATAATGCTTTTTACCTTATCAAAGGGCGTATTGGCATTACTCGGGTTTGAGGAGTACTGTAAGGGACTCCTAGAATCATAGATTATTCAAGCTGCTAGCAATCACCTAGTCCAACCATCCCTCTTACCACATGTGGACACTGAGCCTCCTGGGGGAGAAATGAGTGTCCAAGGTAAAAATCGGGGAGGGGCTGACTGAGGTCAGAGACTGGGTCAGCAAACTTCAAACTACATATCCCATCCAACGTGTCAACTCCTTCCAAAGGTGGATCATGGCGGAAAAATGGCAGCAATTGCCAGGAAACACAAAAATGGGCTAGACACAAACTAATGGAGAGTTATGTGTTGCCTTAGCTAACTCTCAGGGGGGAAGATGTGAAATGGGCCGGGACTGACTGGAATGACAGACTTGTTTCAGAGTTAGGAACCACAGTGAACAACCGGCTGTGCTGAAAGGACCCAACAGCCTTTTGACTTCCCCACTCAGGTGATATCACCCATGAGCTTGGCTTGTTCCTTTACCCTCAACATTCACAAACAAATCCCTGAAGTTCTTTTTTAAAAATTCTTTTTTTAATGCATATTTATTTTTGAGACAGAGAGAGACAGAGTGTGAGTGGGGGAGAGGCAGAGAGAGAGGGAGACACAGAATCCAAAGCAGGCTTCAGGCTCTGAGCTGTCAGCACAGAGCCCGACGCGGGGCTAGAACTCATGGATGGTGAGATCATGATTTGAGCCAAAGTCATAGCTCAACTGACTGAGCTACCCAGGTGCTCCACCAATCCCTGAAGCTATTTTTTAAAATGTTTTTATTTTTGAGAGACAGAGTACGGGAGGTGGCGGGGCGTACAGAGAGAGAGGAAGACACAGAATCTGAAGTAGGCTTCAGGCTCTGAGCTGTCAGCACAGAGCCCGAGGCGGGGCTCAAACTCACGAACTGCTAGATCATGACCCGAGACTAAGTCAGACACTTAACCTACTGAGCCACCCAGGCGCCCTGCAAATCCCTGAAGCTCTGAAGCTCATAGGTTGAAGTGCATTTGTACTTTTCTACTCTGTCTTTAGACGTAACTGCACTCCGTGAAACTGGGGCACGTAACAAAGGGAATGTTTCTCAGCTGCATGTAAGAGTTTTGATCCTAACTCGTGAAGCAAGAAGAGTGCATTTGTGATAGAATTGGATGGTCATTACATTGTCATACATATGACAAATCGCCACAAACTTCAGAGCAGCTGAATGAAGATACATTTATTATCTGACAGTTTCCTGGGGATGGAATTCTGGGCAAGGATCGGCTGGGAGCTTTGCTCAGGGCCTCACAGAGATGTAATCAAGACACTGGCTCATCTGAGGCTTTGGTTCTCTTTCATGCTCACGCGGGTGTTGGCCAAATTCATTTCCCTTGCAGCAGGAGAACTTAACAGCTGCTCGCTTCTTTGGGGCCAGTGGGTAGAGTCTCTTTTTCTAGACTCTTGGAAAGAGCTTACCTATTTAGGCCAGGCCCACCGAAGATAATCTCCCTTTTGATTAAAGTCAACTGATTGGGGAATTTAATTGCATCTGCAAACCCCCCTCATATTTGCCATATTCTGTTGCTTAGAGGTTACAGCTTCTACTCATCCTCAAGGATAATTACACTTGGTAATCACGGGAACAGATTACCAAGGACATGGGCACCACCTTGGCCTGTTTCAGTTGCTACAACAAACTATCATAAGGGTGCCTGGGTGGCTCAGTCCATTAGCTTCTGACTCTTGATTTCATCTCAGATCATGATCTCACAGCTCGTGGTTTGGAGCCCGGAGTCTTGATTTCGGCTCAGGTCATGATCTCATCGCTCATGAGTTTGAGTCCTGCAACGGGCTCTGCGCTGACAGTGTGAAGCCTGCTTGGGATTCTCTGCCTCCCTCTCTCTGTCCCTCCCCGCTTGTGCTCTCTCACTCTTTCAAAATATGTAAATAAACTTTATTTACAAAATATCATACACTAGTGGTTTATAACAACAGAAATTTAGTTCTTACAGTTCTAGGGGCTGATAAGCCCAAGATTGAGGTGTCTGGTAAGAGCCTTCTCATGGTTCACAGATGCCGATCTTTTTCCTGTGTCTTCATAGGGTGGAAAGACCAAGGGAACTGGCTGACATCTCTTCTAATCCCATTCGTGGGGGCTCCACCCTCATGATCTAATCCCCTTCAACAGGTGCCACCTCCTAATCCCATCCCATTGGGGATTAGGTTTTAAGATGAATTGGTGGTGGGGGGTGGGGGGGAGATCCATTCCATCTGTAGCAGGTACCATGGGAGTTTTCTTAGAATTCTGTGCACTGCCAGTCACTGGCACGCACTTCATGAGGCTGTGAGTAAGGTTCGTATTTTCAGACTTTCGTGTGATGTTTTGAGAATGTTTAGCACTATCAATATATATGTTCATATTAAAAGTTAGAAGAACAGGGGCGCCTGGGTGGCTCAGACAGTTAAGCATCCGACTTCGACTCAGGGCATGATCTCACGATTCATGGGATTGAGCCCCACGTTGGGCTCTCTGTCAGCCCAGAGTCGGCTTCAGATTCTCTGTCTCCCTCTCTCTCTGCCCCTTCGCTGCTCGCTCTCTCTCTCTTTCTCAAAAATAAATAAACATTAAAAAAATTTGAATAATAGAAACTCAGGTGTCAGCTAACCTATATTATTCACACCAGGGTTTTTCAACCTTGGTGGTCATTCTTTCTTGTGGGGGCTGTTCGTGTGTTGTGAGATGTTTGGCAGTATCCTTGGCCTCTACCTACGAGGTGTTAGCACTCCCTGCCCAGTTGTGACAACTAAAAATGGTACCAGATGTTGCCAAATGTCCCCTTGAGGGAAAAAGCACACCTAGTTGATAACTACTGCATTAGATAAATACATACTTTTGGTTTGTTTGTTTTTTTTTTTAAAGAAAAACGACATTAAAAGAGGGGATTTGGTTTTTAAGATGACACAACTATTGGGGCGCCTGTGTGGCTTAGTCTGTTAAGCGTCCGACTTCGGCTCAGGTCATGATCACACAGTTGGTGAGTTTGAGCCCCGCATTGGGCTCTGTATTGTACTGATGGCTCAGAGCCTGGAGCCTGCTTCATACTCTGTATCTCCCTCTCTCTCTGCGCCTCCCCCACTTGTGCTTTGCCTCTCTTGCTCTCAAAAATAAATAAACATTAAAAAACAGAGATGACACAACTATTTGGAGCTAGAAGGCTCTTACTATTTAGGTAATGCCTCATTCTTAGATGTGCTTTTGTCCTTTGCTGGGAAACGTATGGTTTATAGTTGCAAATAAAAAATTAATACTGTGGATGTGTTTCCCACATGTCCATACTTATTCACGTGCATGCCATAATGAGATTAAGTTATCATATGTTTTATAATCTTGTCTGAGTTTATAGTCAAGCCATACTATAATAGGGCTTTAGTTCCACTCTTAACATGGGTCAGATATTTAATGCATAAGGCAAGAAACCTAATAAACTCCGTTCTTGGTATTATGGCTCCTTTCTTGGAATCAAGTGATACGGCTTGGTATGGGACAGAGTGGAAGGCATGGTTCAATTCTGAAATCACAAAACTCAAAAGCTGCTCATTCCTATTTTCTCTAGGCAAAGGCAGCTCAAGCATCTCATCCGACGTGAGTTCAAGTACAGATCACACGCCGACCCAAGCCCAGAAGAATGTGGCTACCAGTGAAGGTAGGCATCTGGTCTTCATTATCTCTCTCCCTGTGTTCACAGTGCTGGCTATTTTTGGAAGACAAATAAAATGTGTGAGTCGCAGTTCTGTTCTACTGAGTGGGAGCATATGAGATTCTTAAAAATGAGAAGGCAGAGCGTTTCCCAAGTTTCTTTTTTCGCTGCTCTGCTGCTGTGACCGGTAAAGGGGTGCTGATAGGATTTAAGTGTCTCAGTTCTAAGGCAAATGCTGTTATTTTGTGAAAATAGAATAGGCTGACTTTGGGGGAGCCTTCGTGATGTTATAGATCTTGTTTTTTAGCATGCAAAACACTATGATTGTCAAATTCTTGTGCTGTAGTTGAAAGTTCCTGGAAGAGATTTCAAAATCAGCATACTTGGGATTCAGGATTTTGACAGTGGAAGTCACAATCATGTGATTTGTAGGATTTGAACTAACCAAAATGTAGTAATAGGAAAAGAGATTTGTTTGATTATGGAAAGAATACGTGTAAAGTCCTGCCTCTCAGGACAAAGGTTGGTTCCAGTGATATTCTTATACAGAATTTGACTGTATGTACTAATACATGTTGGAATTAATTGCTTTGCACAGTCCGGAAACTTCTGTGTTATTACTTGAGTGTGGAAATAAATGTTTCTACGGTAGTTTGTTAGCAGCAGGTTGACTCAGTTCTGGAATTAGTTGTTTTTATTTTAATGTGAAACACAATTAGGTGAGCTTTTTTTTTTCTGAAGAAGAGTTCTTTCTAAATTAATTGTGGAATGCAGGTCAAGGTAAGACATCTATGAGGTGTTCGCTGATTTTCATGATGATCTGTGCAGCCTGCTTTCGTGAAGTGTGCAGGGTGTAATTTGAGGCTTAACTTAAGCTGTGGACACATGACCTGATGTGGGTCCTCGGTGCCTGGTTGCTTCTGATGTGCATGAATGATGATGGCTCGGCTCTGCTGTGCATGTCTTCTCTTGGGTATTCTTTGACTTGTCGTGTTTCAAATGATTGATGTATAGAGAGATTTTATAACGGGTTATATTCCCTGGTGTTTAATGCCTTCGGGTTGTTTTACCAACATTGTAAGGTGAACATATTGGGGTGTTCTTCTCAGAGCAGCAAAGCACCAGGTAGAAATCCAATTCTAATTTTCTGCCTGTTAATTCAAATACGCGCATTAGGTCATTCTTGAAATTCAATTAAGGTAATGTGCAAGTCAAGTAAATTGATTCTAGACATTTGCTTTTGAGGCCTCCATTCTTAGGAGCCTGAGTGGAAATCACCTCAATATAACTTATTTAGGGTCCTAATCAAAAAATCTACGTTTTGTAAGGTGATCACTTCTTTCCACCATGATTACAATTAATTTTGTCATAGTCATAATTTGGCTAATTTGACTGGCTGTGAAAATAGAAAGTTAAGAGCGTGTTGATAATTCCTCTGTGTTTCTGTCTCCAGATTTAAGTTCTCCCATAATTTTTTTCCTTTTTCAAAAATGGAAACTATAAAACTGTATGGGCCATGTTGCGAGGGGTGGGGGAGGGGACTGTGGGGCTTCACGCGTTAAAAATGTCTGCGTTTTATGCTTAAAAAAAAAAAACCCTACTCTATAGGGATTTAAAATTTTCATTTTATTCTGCCTTTTCCTTAGGAAGATTCTTTTGATGCAGGTCCAGCCAGTGTTTTATATATTTTTGTCACAATGCATTTTCTACCATCCTGAGGGTAAATTCAGGAGAAAAATGGGAAAATATGATGTTCATATGAAACAATTTTTAGCAACGGGGCTAAATTAATAGTACTTTTTTCCCAACTGTTAAGTGACAGAACCCATCCCTATGAAAGATGCTGTTCATGTTTTGCACATCTGCAAAATTAAGTGCTTTTTCCTATTTCTATGTGTGAATCTGTTATGCCACTGTTTTTTACTCAGTGAAACTAAAAAAAATATTTTGAGATGAATTCGGTGTGGGTACGACTTATAATTAAAATGTATTTTAGGGAGGTTTGCTGCAGAGTGGTCTCCTTATCAGCCTGGTCTTTCAAGATGGAAACACGGCAGTAATGCTGATTTTCTCAAAGCACAGGTGGCAGAGTCTGATCCACCTTTCAGGATTAGGGTGTCGCATTCTCTGACCTCCACAGGGTGGATTTCCCCAATGGTACGCATGTTTCCTCCAACTAGAAAGCACCTTGTAACCACTGTGTGCAGTGTGCTGGCAATGACCGACACAGAGACTGGACACTAGTTTCTTACACGTGCTACAGAGGAGCCAATTAACAAATGCTTCTCTGATTCTCTTCCTACCATTTATAGAACTGTGTTTCACCTTCGTTGTCAGCTTGGGTGAGTGGTGCATCTGGCTTTCCATAAGCGGTTTGACTATTGTCATTTCCTTCTTTTCTTGGATCCTCTTAAGATTTTTTGCCTCTGAATTGAACAATATCCTCTTCATGAAATATAGGCAGGATCGTCAGTTTAAAGGTCTGAGTGATAGTGGTTTCTAAAAATGAGGCATGTGGTGAAGGACCATATTGGTTTCCTGTAGCCTTTGAAAGCCGTGGCCATACTGGTGAAAGCTGGGTTGGAAGGCTATTTGGAGCAGAGTTGCACCTCTCCCTATTGGGCTGGTTGGGGAAGGTATCATGTCAATTTCCCCGCCTGTGTGGGGTGTGTGTGCGCGCAGGCGCCTTTGTGCCCAGCCTCCACCAGCCGGCGAACGGCAGAGTCATAGACTCCTACCGTGTCTATGAAGCATGTAGGTAACCGTGGGGCGCATGCTGGCCCGTGAACTGAGGATGTGGGCGCTGAAGAGAGGGAAGGGCACTCACATAACATGCACTAACCTGGGGCTGGCGGTGGGGATGGTCACTGACTGTGACAGACCCGAGGGACTTACTGGGGAGATGACAGTGTTCTAAAATCGGATCGTGGTGCAAGTTGCACAACACGGCCCAATACTAGAAATCACTGAAGCATACACACAACAGGGGGTTGGGAGTCACAGCTGCTGCGTGACCTGCAGACTTGCATCTAAATCATGATGAGCTAGTCTTTGCAAATGCCGCCTCCCACCTCTGGGAAGAAGTCCTGAACAGTGGTGAGAAGATCCCTCAGGAGCAGGGGTCTTGGCCTTCCAGAGTGCAGGGATGCTGGCCAAAGATGTCTCCTGAGATGCTCTGGCCTTGGGACCAGAACTGCCGAGAAGGCATCGTAAGAGGTCCCTGGATGAGCAGTGTCTACAGCCCAGAGCATGGTCAGAGTGGACTCCTCCGAGACAAACTCTCCTGGGAAGTTCTGTAAGACCTGAGAGATGATAGACCCACAAGTTTCTCAAAACTTTTCTTTTCTTTTTTAAGCTTTTCCTGGAGAATCCCTAACCTCAGCTTAGATTTATGATTTGAGCACACCAAGCCTGATGGTTGAGACATTGTCACATTTACCGACTCCAATAAGTTTAAGGACTTATGTCCTTGCTGTCTACCTGTTGTTCCCACTCATCCGCTTTGGGTTATAAGGCTGTTTTCCTACACATGGTGGGCACAAACAGTGATACGATTTGGTTTTACTCCAACAGACAATGGTATTTTTTTACCTAAATGGTAGCGCTCCATTTCAGAATCTCCTGGAAAAGCTTCCTGTGTCTTAATTTTGTGACTCTAAAGCCACACCCCTGTTAAGGAATTGGCAGCCTGCAGTGCTTTCTCCTTGATGAATGGTATAGGCTTTCTTTAAAGCCCAGTATATTTCATGTGACAGTTTAAGTTCCTGATTTCCTGACACCATAGGGGGTTTGGGTTCAAGTGTAGAAAGCTGGAAACGTTCCATTTTCCCCAACAAAATCTGCATTCCAGCTTCATAAGCCACAGCTTAATTCTTTCCAGTTGTGTTGCTCTTCTTTTTCCTACACTTTTTTTTTAGTCTTTCTCATCCACGGGTGTTCTCTGTTGTACTGGAAGGAATGGCCTTTGACTTTCAGCTGTGAAAGTCACATCCAGCCCATGATTGTAATAGAGCACATGGATCATGAAGAAGCTTCCTAGGAATAGTGAGCTGAGCTGGGCCTTCTTTCTCAGATCAGGGTTATGACGATATGGTTTTAATGGTGGCATTTCAACAACTCAGACGTCCCTTGAGCTGGAGGAAGGTGACACAGTTTAGTTCAAAGGCCAAATGTAATTGACCAAGGAAGAGTCAGCTTTATCCAGCTGCTCGCTAAACATATTGAAGTTCAGATATTGAACTCGCTGACAACACAATTTATAGGTGTGATGGCTTATGAATGTCGTTATCAAGCCAGCCAAATATGGAATCATAGGGTTTTTAGAGCTACAAAGCTTTGGCAATTTTCTGATCTAATATACTCGTTTTACAAAGAAATCCCTGTGGCACAGAGAAATAAAGAGATTTGCTCAATATTACACACCTAATAAATTGTTGAGCAGGAGTTTGACACAGTATTGTTTTGGTGAGAGATGGTCAAATCAGGAAAAAGCCTAACCTTTGAAAAAGTCGCTGCTTTCTAAGTGTGAAGCTATTTAATTCTGTTTTGTCCATCTATTGGCTTCTTCCTGTCTTGAGCTGGTTGCTGAACTGAGACAGGCTGTTCATAAGAGGTTGAGAAAGACTGAGTTCAAATAGATCAGTACTTCCAGTAGGAGGAGAGGATCTCCTTGAAGTGGTAAGAAGGTCTCAAGCTATGGATGTAGGTTGACTTCTCACCTGGACATGGAAACACTACCTTTAAGTTACTTCATGGTTATAAAATAGCATTTCAAAAAATTTACTTAATATTGTTTTGTGAAATTTTCCACTTAACTCCCTGAAGGAAATTAATTTTCAAATGTTTCATTTGCACTATGAGTGAAATGAGTTGCTATATCAAGAATTTGTGGTGATATTCTTTCCCTGGTACCTAAAATCACCTGTTTATTTATACAGTCATGGGTTCACATGTTTTCAGTGCCCAGACTAGACCGATTCTAAAGGGAGTTTGTTTGAAAATGCCCA